ATATATATATATATATATATATATATATATATAGGGAAAAGTTCGGTTGCTCTAAACAATCAAACTAGAGCCCTACCTCAAAATTTTCACTAGAAGAGGTTGTTTTGGAGCCCAAATATCTTCAAATTGATCATTTCGACATCAAGATACATGGATATGAGAAAAAAAAATAAATTTTACGTTTTGGAAATAGTGCATATTGTAACGTATTTTTGGACCGTCAATTTGTAAGTTTTTCAAGTTCTCATAGATTTGTTCGATCTGCATTATTTTTGAAGTTTTAAAATTTATAATTAAAAATAAATATATATTTTAAGGCTATCATGAAGATTTCCAATATTGAAACCACATTTCTCAACACTATTTGAAAGTGGGCTCTAATTTGATTGTTTAGAGCCTCGACTATATACAAATATCGCACCCATATATATATATATATATACGGATATTCTAAACTTTTTCAAATTACAAAGGTTCAAGATAGAGAGAGTTGTGAATGATGGATTTATTAATTTTGCAGTCTATTTTGTAAAAAAAAGATGTTTTTGTGGGGCCACTTTTGTAAATATTACTACAAGACAAAGGGTACTTTTGTCATCTCCATAAGAGGTAAAATTGAAATTTTAACTAAAAGATAAGGGCATTTTATAAAAAAAGTTCCAGGACACTAATTTTCAAAATGCCATTACATTTTTGTGAAAATTTCAAATTTACCATTGCTTAATAATAAAGTTACCTATTTAAATAATTTTTTAATAAAAAATAATGATTGTTTTGATAAATATATCCATCACAACTCCTTTTAATTTGAACCTTTGTATTTTGAGGAGTTGTTAACTCTAGATAATATATATATATGGAAAAAGCTTGGGTGAACCCACTAGTTCACAGGAAAAAAATGAGCCCAACGGCCCAGATTGAATCTGACAATCACGGATGTCCGGTAGTATTTGAATTTGAATTTTTTTCCTACAAATCCAAATCATTTGAAATTTTAGACGTGTGTTCTTCTCATCAAGCCTCATTTAATAAAAATATAAAAAAAATAATTTACAAAAAGAAAATTAACCAAAATACCCCCGAAACTTTTCGAAAGTATTTTGGTTAATTTATTTCATGTAAAATATTTTTTTGTATGTTTCGAAGATTCACTTATTTTTTATGTACACACGATTCAAATTTTAAATGTTTTGGATCTGTAAAAAAAAATTAAAATTTAAACACTACTGGACATCCGTGCCCATATTCAATCTGGACCGTTAGACTCATTTTTTCATGTGAGCTAGGGTGAGCCCACTAGCTCACATAAAAAAATGATCCAAACGGCCCATTTCTTCTCTATATATATATATATATATTTATATAATAGTGCTATGTGAAAAAACAGAGTTGAAGGAGATAATTGCTTTTTGGATTCGTTGAGAGGGTTACTATTTTTTCTCGTTCTTATATCTGGTGTGGATTGCTTACCCTAACCACAAGATGCCCATAAATAGCTTTGGCATATGCGGAAAGTTTATGCATCCAATCAACATACCTCTCTAATCAAATATTAAATGAATGTATCCCCTCCCTTTCTACTCTCTCGAACATCACACATACATCTATGTACAGTGTCATAGTCATAAAAGTAGGAGGGGTGGCAACGGGGCTGGGCCTAGGCCTAGACCGGCCAGCCTTGGCCCTTGCGCGTCTCATGACCCTACAGGACCGGGCTAAAAAAAAAAAAAAAAAAAACCAAGAAAAGAGAGGGGAAACCGTGCCAGCACTGGCCCTAGCACGCTCCTAGGCAACAGTTTGTGGCATAGGTCCGAATTTTTTAGGGCCGGGCCAGGTGGTCCATTACCAGCACTGGCCCTAGAACGGCCTGGGCCACAGTTTGTGGCATAGTCCCGAGTTTTAAAGGTCCGGGCCGGCAAGCCCATTGCGAGCCCTGAAGGTAAAGTACCTAAAATCGTTTTCAAACTCCACATTCAACAAGCGTGGCGGCTAGGAAAGGTCTCTCTCCGTCGCTCCCTACCTGACCAACCTCATTGATTATTGAAGTGGTTGGTGCGATAGCGTAGCAAGGGTTGCGAAGAAAAAGCTGCAACGGCAGGTGTGGTACGGTGCTGGGAATATCCTTCACCTTTCACATATAAAATGTTACTTAGACGTAAGAGATGATGTGTGAATTGTAGCGAGAGAGAGAGAGCGAGAGAGGAAATAATAGTAATCGCAGAAGAAGGGAATTGGAATGGGAGAGATGAGGTGGGTGTGGGTGGTGGGGGTCGTGGTGGGGGTGTATGTGGGCATGGATCCCTTTAATCACAGCCTGATTGCAGGCTTTGAGAATGAGATGGAGGTAAAGGAGGTTAAGGTCGGAGAGTGGGGAAAGAGGGTGAGAGCGAGGGACCATGCCAACCGGCTCGTGAAGGCAGAGTTGTTGCATGGTGTGGTTGGGCCTGAAAGCTTAGCCTTCGACGTGGAAGGGAGGGGTCCTTACACTGGCCTGGCTGATGGCCGCATAGTTCGCCTTCATCCACCTCCATTCACTTCCTTCTCCGATTTTGCTGTGACATCCCCCCACTGGTCCGTTGCTCTCTCTTGCAATTTTTTGCTTTATGATCCCATTCCATATATTGTTTATTTTCCTATTTTGTCTTCTCCTTGCTTGACCCCTCCTCTCTCTCTCTCTCTCTCTCTCTCTGTTTGTGTGTATGTATTGATATCCTCTGTATGGTAAAGAATGACTTCTGGACCGGGTGGTCAGGGGTGAGAGCGCACCACCTAAGTTGTTTCAATAGAACTTGGAGGAGGTTGTATTCGAATAATAAAAATTAAAAAAATAAAATTTAGGAATTGTTCTTGGGCTTGAGTGGTTAGTTCACAAGGTTGGAACACTTCCTACCACTGGATAATTAAAAAAAAAAGAAAAAAAAAAGAAAAGAAAGAAAAAGACAAAAGAAAGAAGGAATGAAAGTATGGGAGAGGTGCGCCCCGGGGACAAACTGGTTATTTAACAAGATTTTGTGGGTTCCTTAAGTAAACACTGAACCTCCCATTGTAGCCATTCATTTTTGCTTTTTTATCTCATCCTTGAATTCGGTTGTCTTATGCGCTCCTTATCTTCCCTTCCATTCGAATAAGTGTGGCTTTGAAACGGCCACTGAAAATAATATAACAGTGCAAAAGAAACTTCTAGGTTTTCTTATTGTAATAATTATTCTCGAGTTTCCACCATCTTTGTCTTTTCCAGTTTTTTTAGTTCTTTTAAGTCATGCTAAGGATGTCATAGGCCTAACAGCCCATATTGAAGGTGGGAGATGGTTTTGAAACGTAGATACACATCTCGCCAACAACTGAAAAGCATATAACACTACAAAAAAACTTTTAGATTTTCTTATTGTGATTATTGCTCTTGAGTTTCTATCATCTTTGTCTTTTTCAGGTTTTAGTTCTTTTGAGTCATGCTAAAGATTTCATAAGCTCAATGAAGGTGGGAGATCAAATAAGTATGGCTTTGAAATGGGATATCCTTCTAGCCAACTGAAAGGCATATAACTGTACAAAAGAAACTTTTAGGTTTTCTTATAGTGATTACTATTCTCGTGTTTCCATCATCTTTGTCTTTTCCAGTTTTTAGTTCTTGTGAGTCATGCTAAGGATTTGATAAGCCCAATTGTAAGGTGGGAAGTAAAATAAGTGTGGCTTTGAAACGGGGATTTGGATCTAGCAAACTCAAAAGAATATAACAGTACAAAAGAAACTTTTAGGTTTTCTTATTGTGATTACTATTCTCGAGTTTCCATCATCTTTGTCTTTTCCAGTTTTTAGTTCTTTTGAGTCGGGCTAAGCATTTTATAGCCCAATGTCCCATGTATCTTTCGTAGATTATGATTATATGATCCTGCTGGAGCATATTGTATATTTGCTCCCTTTGGTAAAATCCTAACTAGAATTATTATAGGACCCAGATCTCGGGGGTGTAACCTACTCAATTTAAAGGCCAAATTTAAGCCGAAAAAAAAAAAAATGATACACACACTAAAATTGTACGGAAAACTTTACGCCCTAGGATTGCACACAAATCCAGTTTTGGAATGGAACAAGAACTGGAACCCTCTTTCTTTTGCATTTTAATTTCTTTTTTTCCCTTTACTTTTTAGTTGGGTCAATTATTCTTGAACTCAGGACATACTGGTGTGGCTATCATGCCTGAGCATTAGTCCTGGGCCAAGTCACATCTTGAACCAATTCGCTCCCAAACCACTCTAATTTCTGGCAAAATTGCCCATGTTTTTTTAAACTATTTTTTCCAAATCAGTCCTCATGTTTTCAAATTTGGTGTCTATTATGTTTGGGTGAGGTTTGTATAAGGTTTCCTCTTTGTACCGTAGAAGTAAGGCGCACCTATAAAATTTACTTATAGATATCATTTCGGCTTAGAAAACTTTATGATGGCTTTAAAATCCCTTTTTATATTCAGTTACAACATTTAAAATTTCAAAAATGGTACAGATCAAGCAGATCAAGAAACACTTGAAAACTTTGAAAATAGACAGCTCAGATAACTTGTTACAAAATGTACTATGTTTTAGACTTGGAATTCTTTGTTTTCTTCATGTTCATTCATCACAAGGTTGAGATGATCAATTAGAGGTTCTCTTATGCTTGAATACTTTCCACTATAGAATTTTTGAGGTGCACCTTACTTCAACAGTATAAGGTTGCAACCTTATATAAACTTTTTCTGTTATGTTTTATCGTGATTGGTGAGTGTTCTTTTTCCGTTATGTTTTATCGTGATTGGTGAGTGTGGATTGTGGGGCACATGTGTTTCTTTTGGGATGATGGTGCAAATGTAGTGTAAAGGCATTTGTGGTCGCCTATTGAATTGACTACTTCTATTTGGGCTTTTTTTTTTTTTTTTCGGGTAGGTTAGGCAAGGATAAACATCGTAACCTGGCCAATGCAATAGATATTCTTTTGGTCCAATTAATCTTTATATATTTTTATTATCAAAATATCTATAATTTAACATTATATAATTTTTCGTTATTCCAACTCATCATAATTTGCATTTTGGTGGGTATTTTGAAATTAAATCAATCTATAAAGGTAAAATATTAAATAGTTTTTCTCTCATAGGTATTTTGATAAATTTTTTTAAAAGAAAAAAAAAGAAAACTAGCACTTAAGTTTACTAGAATGAGCATGCTTTATCTCAAATCCCAAACTAATAATATATACAATGAAAGCATCTCATTCAATCTAAGAACAATTGTTTCATATGCGATCCAGTGGTATAAAGCATCCATCTTAAAGATGGATGCAAATGGGTGGTCCATCTAAAAGCAATTGTAACTAGATTTCTTTTTAATATACTTATTATTTCTAATTTTGTAAATTTTCATATTCATGATCTCCATGTTAAACTAAAAATTAGGATCAAATTATATTTAAAATATATATTTATTGCCAAGCCGGCATTTGTCTAACAGCGGCCTTTGCTTTGTTGAGTGATGGTTGTGGGCAGGAGCAAGGAGAGGTGCAGTGGGGCAAAGAAGGAGGACGAGGAGGTATGTGGGAGGCCATTAGGTCTAAGGTTCCACAATAGGACAGGAGAGTTGTACATAGCTGATGCTTACTATGGCCTCTTGGTGGTCGGCCCCGAGGGCGGCCTAGCGCGCCAAATCTCCACCTTGCCTGACGACGGCATTCCCTTGCGCTTCACCAATGACCTCGATATCAACCCTCAAACCGACATTGTCTACTTCACCGATAGCAGCTCCAAATTCCGGAGGAAAAACTACATGCAGGTGGTGGTGTCTACTGAGGATTCTGGAAGGCTACTCAAATACGATCCTACCACCAAAAAGACCAACGTGCTGCTCAACCATCTTCACTTCCCTAATGGACTGTCCCTTAGCCATGACGCCTCCTTCCTTGTCTTTGCTGAGACCACCAAGGCAATGTGAGTGCGTGACCCACCTCCTCCTATTCATTCGTTGCCAATGGAATTCAAATAAAGGGATTGAAGTGAACGTGTTGCATTTTCAGTGGGTAAGTAAATGATCCATTTCCTTTCCATGTCATGCAGGCTTAGTAGATACTGGTTGGAGGGAGAGAAGGCCGGAAGCAAGGAGGTATTCGTGCGCTTGCCGGGTTTACCCGATAACGTGAGGGCCAACGAGAAGGGAGAATTGTGGGTGGCGATCCACCGGAGATGCAGTTTGCTGATCTATTTCCTTGCAAAGCATGTGAGGTTGAGGAGGTTGTTGCTGAGGTTCCCGGTGCCCCCGTTGTTTCAGAGGTGGTTCATATACAATAACAAGTTCGGGGGAGGAGGCATGGCCGTCAAATATAGCCCTCATGGGGAACTGAAGGAGGTGTTGGAGGACGGGGGAGGAAAGAGGGTCGCCTCCATTAGTGAAGCTCATGAGAGAGATGGGAAGCTGTGGATCGGCTCTGTGCTGTCCACCCATGTTGCTGTGTATCAATTGGAAGACGACCGCACTTCTTCTATTCCTACCCCTATGTAATCATACCATACGCACCTCATATGTAATATTAATCACCGATACATATTTATCATTCAAAAATATTTTGAATAAACTTATTCTCGTAATTGAATAATTTTATTAAATAATTATAATTTCTTTAAAATTATGAAATAAATAAATAATTCAGATATACTATTTGTGATAAAACAAGATTATAGATAGAGTAAAAAATTTTAAATAAAAGAATTTATCTTTAAAATTTAATATTGCATCAAATAATTATAAATTTGATATAATATTGTGAAAATATTTAATTAATTCATATCCATTTGGCATAAATTTTAAAAAAATTAAACAATTCAAATTGCATTAATAAAAGTGATCGAGAATTTAAATTATATAAATAATGGTGAGAGAAAAACTAATATAGGGTATTTCGAATGCCAATAACAAATATAATAGTTCTTTAAAACATGAGGCCTTGCTAATACCTATAAATATATTAGGCTATTAAGGCATGCTTCAAAAGCGTTAGCCTTGTTATATATATATAAAAAATGATATGAACTTATGTACATTGGCCAATACCGAATTTCAAAAGGAAAATTCTTAAATCCTTATACTTATGGTATTAATAATCTTTAATCATTTTTGTTGCAAAATATAATTCTTATTAAATATTAACTAGAGTAATTTGTTTCTTATTAAATAATTCTCATTACTTACTAATATATTCTATTTATATTATCAAATATAATTATCATTCAATAGTATAAAATAGGTCCTTAAGAAAATGCCATTTAAAAATTTTAAATAATGAAAGAAATAAGAAAAAATAAAAATAGTACTATGGTGTGTGCAACTTTTTTTCCAGTTTCATTGTGGATGTCAGAAGTTGCAAAAAGAAAATAAAAAATACAAAAAAAAAAAATGAAAAAGAAAATGTAATTTGTAATATATAACTGACAATAGATAAAAAATTATGTAATATTGTAGATATTACCCAAAATTCTGTTTTCACATTAGATCCATGAATTGTGTCAATGAAATCAGTATTCGAAAATAAAAATCCTAATCTCAAAGTCAGACGTGCAAATGTTATACGCTACTAACTCAATAATATATATTTTTATAATTACCTAAAATCATAGCTTATTTGAATAGTTTGAAATATCGCAAAATGCACATTTACAATTTTTTTTTACAAAAGCACCTTTATTATCCGAATCAATGCAAATGTTATCCATGTTAATACTAATATTTAATGTATAGTACTAACTCAAGAATATAATTTTTTTAATTACCTAATGAATAGTTATACTATAATATTCTTTATTTTTTGGAATTCGATTCAATTATTTCATAAAAAGGGGTGTCTTTACATCCAATAAAATGAGAACCAAAATGATATCTTGTAGAGCTCCAATTTAGGATTTCATTAGATTAGATCAATGGTTTAAAAAACGGATCGATGACCTGGATCGGGCTTCCAAAAAACCGATCCGGATCGGCGAATCAGCGATCCGAATCGAGAATCGGGTGAATCGGTCAGAATAAAGCTTAAAAAAATCCGAAAAAATTATTAAAATTCATTATAAATATTATTTTTTAGGAATTCAATAAGAAATGAGGGTACTCCATAAGAAATTTCATGTTTTTGAATGAATATGCGAATATTGATATGTTCTTTCCCTGCATGAACCGCCATTCAGCATTTAATTTACATCACACAAAAGGATAAACATATAATTATCATGGAATAAGTATATCAACATACATGGACTACAATAAAGCATAAAATTAATAACATATGATCTAAAAATAAAATGATAGACGACGTTATTGTTCTTCTTGGTCACGCTGGTGCCATTGATTGAATTCGTTTAACAATTCATTGATTCGATCTAAAAACGAATCATCGATATTAACAGGCGTCTGACTATTCCCAAATCCCTGAGTGTTAGTGTTTTGATGTGTTTCCAATCTAAAATCCCCGAAGATTGTCCATCCTTCATGCTCACCTGCACTGTCGTGCTCATCCCTACACTGTTGCTGTTGGGACTCGATATATGAATAATATTGCTGGGATAGGGTGGCCTCAGAATCATCATCTCTCTCATTTTTTCTTTGAATAATATGGATTAAAAAAAACAAACAAATTTTCAAAAAAATCGATCATGGATTAAAAAAAAAAAATCACAAATTTTTAAAAAATTCTATCATGGATTACAAAAAAAAATTCGATCATGGATTAAAAAAAAAATCACAAATTTTCAAAAAATTCTATCATGGATTACAAAAAAAAATTCGATCATGGATTAAAAAAAAAAAATACACAAATTTTCAAAAAATTCAAATCATGGATTACAAAAAATTTGATCATGGATTACATAAAATTCGATCATGGATTACATAAAAATTCGATCATGGA